TTTCTCAAGCACTTCGCTACAGATGAGGGTGCACTATTCAACCTGCTCGTCCGTTGCCCACACGCCAAGGTTCGCGCTCAGATACGAAACTTTTTGATCGATTGTCTCAAGGTATCCCGTGAGAAAGAACCGACTTTATACGGTTTCGAAGGAATTGAGAATGACATGGATTCTGACTCTTTAGCCATCGCTACAAAGGACGGGCTACTCGTAGACATCATCCAAAGACTACGTCAGACTGCAGACGATAGCTATCAAAGCATCCGAGGATGGGACGACTTCTACTTGACCTTGACTCAAGTCGTAGAGATTGGCCATGCTGAGATCACAGTGTTCTTGAACCAGGGTTTCTTGGATTTCTGTATCAAGCTGCTTTCCATCCATGTGCATAGGCGCCTGCAAGACGATTACCCAGAGTTTTGGAGGATTCTGAGTAAGAAAGTAGGCATTTACAATCGGCTCATTCAATTTTTCTCGACTCTACTTTCACACATGGACACGAACCTGCCACTGGTTCCTTCAACTCTAATCGAAAACCGCGGGGCTACGCTCGACCGAGAATGCCTCAAGTTCCCACTAACCCACCGAGAACGACAGATGCTTTTCTATTGGGATCCAGAACTCAAAGCGATAGCAGTACCAGATAAGGCCATGGAGATGTTTGACCTGACCAAAGCGGAATACTTCTATCCTGGGGACATTGTCAAAACGATGATTAGCTGGATGGACCCGCATGCTCAGTCGAATCTTTTCAAGACGATCAACGATGGCGTAGGTCTTGATCCGCCTTTTTGCGACGCATACGTACAAGCGGCGCTTTCTTTTTGTGAAACATCTCCAGCAGCCGAGAATGTTATCAGACTGATCACCACGGTGTCCAAAGCAATCGCGTCGGCGAATCGACTGGAAGAAGAACGACTACCGAATGGGATGGCTGTCTTGGACTTCTTCATCGGTCTTCTGAAGGCTGAAAATGAGGCACTCTTCGAACAACGGCACCCATACGTTTTCTTCTATTGGGTCATGGCGAGGAGTCGCATATGGGCACCTGCTTTGCTTCTCAATCCTCTAGAGAGTGTACGCCAGAGCGCAGAACTACTGGTGAGCGAACTCTACAAGGATCACGACGACGAATGGCCGACGGACATGGTGGCTTTCAAATGGAGATCACTTCGTGAATTATTGGGCGAAATGATGCAGCGTATTATTTTCGAAAAGGATGCGGGTATGCTGAGGATTCATATGACTCCGCTCATTTCGTCCTGTCAATTTCTCCTTCGACAGATCTTCGAGTTGGTTCACAGTGAGGATCCAGATCCAAACTTGGACATTTACAGGGATGACGCAAACGATAGTGCTCGTATATATGCGTGGCAAACAGATATTGAGCCACGATTGCACTCGTGGCCGCAAGACGACAGTCGTCTATCAGCAGGGGATCTTTACGACCAGTCAGATTTTGGTAGCGAGTCAGACGTGGAGGGGGTAGCTGGCGTTGAGTGATGATTATTGATTTACGATTTCTGCACAGCGTGGGTGCTTGGGCGCGTTAACATAGGTTGGGCCTGGGCTGAATGAACATGATGGAGATACGAATAATGTCATACGTATATACTATTCAGCTCCAGATACTGCCATGCAGTATACTGTGCCTTTGGCTTGTGTTTCTTTCACGATCATTGGTCTATGACTTCTATTAAGGTGGCATAGCGTGGGTGCTTAGGCGCGTTCGGATGGATTGGGGGCTGGTTTGATTCGTAAATATGGTAGAGATACGACTACCTCGAATTATAACTTTGGTTATTGTCATGGTAGAGAGGGTCGAGGAGGCCAAGGAGACGAAGGGGGAGGCCAAAGAGGCCGAAGAGGCCGAGGAGGAGATCGCTTACTTGCACGTGAATGCCTCACAGAAGGATTGGTTTTTATCGCTTCGTCGTACTTGCCATGTCTATGAGGTTTACTAGGTACAGCTTACCCACGATTTCATCATACTAACCCTGGAACTATGATGCAGACCCAGTTGGACGGTTTGGGTTATGGAGGCAGGGCGAAGATAAGCATCTTAGCCAAGCTTCGTCAGCGTGGTGTCGCGCGTCTCCGCACGCAACAGCTACGTCATCGCAACGGAACTTGCGGCCGGACAAGGTTCCCGCTATCATCACTACCTAGTTCGCAGCTTCGTCATAACGAGGCTTCGATTTTGCAGTTGTGCGTTCTGAGAACCACTCCAAATCACTGATCGTCCTCTAATTTCAATTCTTCATTCCGACCCGATTGTCCACTGATTTTCTAGCTTTGTCCTTGTTAGCAACACAAAGAAGCACGCGACACTACTATACCAGACATCGAGCGAGACGCTTCTCAACGCTCGGCCGAGGAAATAGTGCCAGCTACGTGCCGGATAGAGCCGCGCTGGAGAAAAAACCCTGGATATTTAAGAGCCGACTTAAACAAAAAAAAGCTCTTGCAAGCACAGCAGACATCATGGCCAACAAACTAGATGCGATGAAGCCGCAAAGGAAGATTGAACTGTTTTCTGGGTCCTACTTTGCGGCATGTACGTTAGGTGGGGTTATCGCGTGTGGTCCTACGCACACCATGGTTACCCCTCTTGATCTGGTCAGTAGTGGAATCGTCCTTCCCTAGAACGCATGTACTGATGGTTCCGCGTCTAGGTGAAATGCCGGCGCCAAGTCGATTCTTCAATCTACAAGTCCAACACACAAGCCTGGAAAATGATCTACTCCAAAGAAGGTCTCCGCGGCGTATTCTTTGGCTGGACCCCCACCTTCGTTGGCTACTCGATGCAAGGCGCTGGCAAGTATGGTTTCTATGAAGTCTTCAAGTACCTTTACGGTGATAAACTTGCGCCTGGTGCACCAAAGCAAGTTGTCTACCTTGCTGCCTCTGCTTCGGCGGAGTTTCTTGCTGATATTGCGCTCTGCCCTATGGAGGCTATCAAGGTCCGCATGCAGACTACCATGCCTCCATTCGCGCATACGTTGAGGGAAGGGTGGGCAAAAGTCATCAAGGAAGAGGGTGTCGGTGGCCTGTACAAGGGACTATACCCGCTGTGGGCACGCCAGATTCCTTACACCATGGTTAAGTTTGCGACGTTCGAGGAGACAGTCACCCAGATCTATCGCTTCCTCGGCAAGCCAAAGGAATCGTACGGTGGGCTGCAGCAGACTGGAGTTTCGTTCCTGGGAGGTTACATTGCGGGTGTTGGGTGTGCCGTAGTATCACATCCCGCAGGTATGCTTCCAATGATTTTATACTTTGCACGAGAGAAAGAGAGAGAACGCTGACGCATACTAGATGTCATGGTCTCGAAACTGAACAACGACCGCAAGCCTGGTGAGGGAGCGGGCCAGGCGATCGGCCGGATATACAGCAAGATTGGCTTTACTGGTCTGTGGAACGGGCTTCCTGTCCGCATCTTTATGATTGGTACTCTGACAGCCTTCCAATGGCTCATCTACGACTCCTTCAAAGTCTATCTCGGCGTAAGTTTTTGGATGACCCATTCATATGAATGTGCATAATTTTGCTAATGCGGTGCAGCTGCCTACGACTGGAGGACACTAAATATTCTTTTTTCTCTGGAATATTAGTAACTCGATATGGATTCCAGTGTATGACGTACGTTGATGAGGAGTAAATGGTTAACGCGCATACACTTACTCACCTAGCCTTAATGTATCTACCTTTTTTTTTATTTCAAAGAAAATATAATTCAATGGACAAACAGCAATCCTCCATTCCCCTTGCCTTGGAAAAACTATGGCTATCGAAACACTGACTAACATGCATGGATACGACGTCTCCCCGCAGTCCGCCCGTTGGATCAACATGAGTACTCTCCCTTCGTACACATAAGCTCGCTAAATGCTCTATCGAAAAAGAGAATCCGATCCTTTCCCTTTTTCCCTCGCTCACCAACCGCGTTTCAGTACCATGCTCAAAAAAAAACCCCAAAACGGACCGAATGGAGGGGAAAACTGGGAAGACGGGGGAGTGTCTTTTTTAGTTAGGGCTTACGCTGCTTTGTCCTTAACGGAGGGGCGGCGGCGGACTTGTGGGATTTTCCGACGTACTTACTCTATTGATATCGTATCGGCATGAAAACCCGTGTTTGAGGTGATGAGGGTTGAGGGACAGGGGGGGGGGGGGTTTGGCTGGGATGGAGTGAATCGCGTCATGTGTGAGCTGGTTGATGGTGATTGTCAGCGAACTTGTAATTCTGTCAATGAGATACTTTTGTATGTGTCAGAGGGAAAAATGCGTGGATATGGGAAAGTCAAAATAGAGAATTGAACTAGATGTTTCAATGTTGAAAAAAAGAGGTATCGATTGTTTCCATGGAGAAAAAAAAGATTACTTGACTACATCCTGCCACTATCGCGTTTCCATCTTCATGCTGTTTGGTCACCGACCAACTTCTTCCTCTCTCTCTCGCGCGCGCACCACACTTCTTCGCACTTTTTTATGTGTGTATAGTGGAGGCTATGATTTACAAGTTGCAAAGCAACCACTCGTTAGAGATACGCTGAAACAAAAAAGGTACAAAAGACCATTTAGATGTCACTGACAACAGGAAGGTCCTTGACAACGGGGACGTTGACATCACCAGCAAGGTTGCTGACCTCGACCTCGTCAAGGATAGGGGCACGAACGTTAAGGGCCTCAGTGGCGTCAGTGACGGGCTGGGCGGCGTCGTAGACGAGTTCGGTGACGGGGTTGAGGTCACCGGTGACGCTTTCGACGGCGTCGGTTACGCCGCCGACAACGGGGACGTTGTCAACGATGCCAGAGACGCCGCCGCCGACGGGCAGGTCCTGGACGACAGGGATGCCGCGCTTGAGGCCGATGTCGAGCTGGAGGAGCTTGTCAGCGTCGACGACTTGGTTGTGGGTGGCATCGGCGGTGAGTTCGTTCGAGTTGAGGCCGGTAAGGCCGTCAACAGACTTGGTAGTGGAGTCGAGGTCAAGGACCTGACGCTTGCTGTGGACATCAGTCTTGACACCCTCGACGGCACCACCGAGGTTGACGCTGTCAGTTACGCGGTCGACGGTGGAGGTGACACCACCAACGGCGGGGAGGTGGAGCTGGCGCTTG